TTGTGCAATATTGTCCAGGCCGATCTCACGATCGTTCTGGCCGATTTCCAAAAATATAGAATACGTAAATTGATCATGGCAGCTATTTCTTTCTATTTTGAGCATATCGTCATGTCCGATAAATGTATCGTCCAGGACGATCAGCTAATTACGGCTGCCTTAACTAAGAAATCCTGATTAGAACTTCTGTTTTGAACTCGATCATACAGGTCGATATAAATATCGTCTGGGACGATGTGAGTAAAAACAAAAATTCTAAATCTCTCACGTGTGTGTGTAGGGTTACTTAACATCAGTCACTTCAAACATTTACAATTGACTCAAGAAAGGGAAAAAGGAAAATTACAGAATGACTCAACCCTAATCTACCCAGTCTCGAGCTGATTTCGATTTCCGTCCGATCTTTGAATCCATAAAATGTCAGTAGTAAAATGCAGTCGAAAAGAAGCAAGAGTGTTTGCTAATCATCAAAACATAATCCATGAAATCGAATTTGCAACAAAGTTCTATGCAATGTCATTTAGTTCAAGCTCGTATTCAATTTGAGTCCACAGTGCAAGTTCAAATTCTCTGAACCCATTTGAGTTTGAGTTCACAAGTCCTCTGTTTATTGAAATTGTAAGTTCATTCTTGATCAAATGTATGAGTGGAGATCAAGCAGGCGGGCGGGTTGAGCAAAGGCAAACCAGCTCAATGGAGTTCGGTCTAGACTAGGGATCAACTGTATGAGTGGAGATATCAGGCTTTAGAGTGGGCAAAGTTCGGTTTGGTGTTGGCTAAGGGGTTTGGATATAGGAGGCGTCGAGTGGCTTAGGTTGGGATGGGTGCGAATGGCAGAAGGGGATGGGCTCTGCTCGCGAGAGAGGCGTCGGAGGAGGAAGAGTATGAGTGGGATATATCGAAAGGGAGTAGGCGTCGGCTAGAATAGGAAGATGCAGATGAATGGGGCTCTATGACGGGCTGTATGCGGGATGTTGGCTCCAGTTGGAGGTAAGTATTTGTCTCCTAAGGTTGGAAGCCGTGGAGTTTGGGTTTTGGCCGAGGGAAGAAGAGCTCGTATGTAGCTTTGGTTTGTTGGATTTGGTCAAGTAGAGAAGTCGGAGGAGGGATTTGAGGTTGGAGGAAGAAAGCTTGCGGGAGGAAGGGATCAAGGCTTTCGTGTGGGATTCGACAGTAGGAGCCTGAAGGCTCCATTTCGTCACGTTATGAAGACGAGAATGGACCTCCTCTAGCAGGGTTTGAGCGGAAGCATGGAGAAACGACGCAAACAGAGCCGAGCTACATGACTTTACGGGATTTCTTGTAGGATTTGCGAATTTGAGCGGTATTACAACAGGTGTTCCTTCTTTCTTTCTTTTTTTTGTTTCTTTTGGCTGTTTAATAGGGGTCAACATGAGTGGAGAAAGATTTTGTTTTTTTAATAATAAGCTGATGCACAAGAGTGAGAATTATTGAAGAATTGTTAATGTATCAAACATTAAAATTATGGGAGGGATGTTAACCATCTGACATATCCTGCAAATCCCACTCAAACCCGCTAAAATCCTAGAAATCCCGCGACATACCTGTGCATTTGGCGCCGTTCCGAGATTTGTTCGCCTCGATCGCTCCCCTTCCACGCTATTAAAACAAGAGTGAAGCTCTCGATCGCGGGCTGCTCTCCCCTCTTTCTCTCACCCGAGCTGTCTCACTCGCTCCCGCTCTCTCCCGCGAGCTCTCTCCTCTTCCCGTCACTACTCCGATTCCTTCGTGGCTGATTGACTCCACTCGCTCGACGACGTTCCCTTCCAAGTCGGGCCGGAAGCTACGCATTTTGATCGCAAGCAACGACGGGATCCTGCTCGCTGTAATCGTAACTTTCTCCGTTTTAGCGCGCTTCCTCGCCTCTGTGCGGTTCGACTTTGCTCCTCCGGCGTTGCCCCTTCAACGAGTCCCTTCTTGTCGGATAGGAAGTCCGACATTTTGATCAAAGGTAAAACGGGAGCTAGCTGGTTCCCTCTCTCCCCTCACGTGATTCTTCGGCTCCTTAGCACTGGTCGACTCCACTCCTTTAGCGACTTTCCTTCCTGCTGGGTCGGAAGTTGCGGCATTTGATCGAAAGCAAGCACGGGAACTCGCTTGCTGTGAAGGTGACTATTTGCCTCTCACGCCCTTCTCGGCCAATTCTCGTCAATCCACCGAACCGAGGGATTTTTTTTATTATTATATAAATAATATATATATTTTAATTATAATTAGTTAAAATTATTATTAATTAATCATAATTTATGAGTTAATTATAATTAATAATTATTAATTAATTATCTTGCGACGAGCCGGCAAACCCCCTGCGCGCTCACGTAGCGTTGTAGGGAGGAAAACCGGCACGACGCTAGTGGCGAGGTGGGTAATCCCCAGACCGATCATGTAGCGTGAAGGGGACAAAATTAAGTATCCACATGTGGGGAAATACTTGTGCTCTCTTTTCAACAGGTACCCAAGACCCTTAAACACTCATGTAGCGGGCGGGGATTAAAGAAAATAAGGTCGCGGTGTCGTTAGACACCCACTCGAAGCGCTCAAGTAGCGACTAGGGGAAGGCTAGTCTCTCGGATTTTTTCCCTAAACAGGGGAGACGCCGGGAGGTTGCCGAAATTCAGACTGAAAACACCGTGGACTTGAGCAGAATTTGGGCCTACATCTTGAACAAATGAGGACTTGCTTTGGACTTAAGTGAACAAATATAAAGGGCTTAACATGATCATAATCAAATAAGCAAATAATTCAGACTAAACTCAAGTAATAAGAATCTAAACATCTGAACTTGAAGACTTGGACTGCAGGGGACACTTGAACTTGTACTTTGAGCTCAAACTGTATAACATCAAGTGGGGCTTATGAACTTGATGAACTCAGATCCAGATGAATCTGAATTTGAACAATCACTTACACTTGAAACTTTTAAACAATCAACTAAGTTTACACTACAAGGAATTGAACTTGCAAGGACTTGCAAATTTAAACCAAACAAAATAGCAAGAGGACTTGAACTTGCACATTGAACTAGAACTTGAATTTTCAAGAATAATAAGGGACTCAAGGAGCTTGAGATTGAATGAGATGCAAAGAGCCGAACCCATAACAACATACAAGACTCAAGCATGAATTGAACCTTGAACTCGGGCTCAATGGAATACGTAGGACTGGGCTCTGGATGAATGAACAAATCAAAGTCTAAAGGCACGATCGTCCAAGCTAACAACAAGTTACAATTGAGAGATGAAATCCCAATGTAGGCGAATAATGAATGCAACGAACTCCTACAACAGTCCCTACAAAGTCAATGGACTATACTTGTATGCAGCAACAAACAAGTGCAAGGTGTACGAGTATTACCCATATGTAGCAATCAAAGATCCGCCCCTACAAACAAATGTAGTCATCAAACCCACCTGAGATTGGTGAAAAAGTGGATATGATGTAGGAACAATGAGTCTTTCACGAACACTTCCAGGAGGTTGTAGTGGATACGAGTCCTTGCAAATCAACACGAATTACTTGTGGATAACAATAGTGGGTATATCGTAAGCACAGCGAACCACTGTGGACACAAGCACAAGTATCACCTACAACAACGGTGATTAAAATGCTGCAAAGTATGTCGGGTATGAAGACAATTTGATATACGAAAAAGGACATCCCCTGACAGAATGGAAGGGATGTTTGAACAAATTAGAACTAAACTTCCTAAACTTCCTGGTGTTCCAAAGTTTCTTCTTGGTTTTATCCTCAAGAATAAAACAGTTCTGGTGTCTACAAACACCGGAAATAACGAGTCTACTATACTGGTGATTTTGAAAGGAGTTCTTTTCCAAGGCGGCGGTCATTGATCTCAAAGTACAGAAGAACCTCCCCCGGTGAATGAGAAAGGGGGAGTCAACATCAAGATTATGAGATGCCTCATGACATCCAGACAACGTCGCCACCGGATCTGCAATATTTATACAAGCAGATAGAAGGCGTCTACAATCTACAATACACCGCCATCGGATCTGGAATATTTATACAAGCAGACATAAGGCATCTACAATCTACAATGCACCACCACCGGATCCGTTAGCTAAGGTGGATTTAAATTTGTCCCATTAGACAAACATTCACCCCAGGTCTACAAGGTACCCTTGGACGAAGCAACTCATGGCTGCTGACAAGGATCTTTCTGTCAGGTTGGATCGACTACCTCCTCTGACTAAGTAGACCAGGGTCCATGATGGCCCGGGACGACGGAACCATTGGATCTTGATCGGGTCCATCATCCATTCCCCCACCATCTGCTTTAAGTGCAAGGTGGTGAAATTTTTGGAGCCCACAAGGGAGTAATTGAACATAGATTATGATGTGATACTAATATTTTTCAAAATAAAAAAAAAATTGTTTGAGTAGTTCTAAAACCGAATCATGGAGTACAAATGTAGTAGTAATAGATCTAGTGGTGGAATTGTGGTATTGATGATCAAGCCATTAGAAATATTGCACATTTAAGATATTTCGGGTCTATTAGTAGAATTAAGTTGGATGGTTGAAGTGGAGGAATGCATTAGGCTTGTTGTGTGATAGAAAGGTACTGCTCAAATTTAATGGAAAATTTTATAAGATGTTGGTGAGATCTGCAGTGTTTTTTATATGTTAAGATAAGTAGAGGCAGACTAAAGAAAATTTGATTAAAAAGTATTAAAAATGACATTTTTTTATTAGATTTAAATGAGAATTTAGCTCTTAATAGGACACAATAGTGAAAAATGACTCATATAGTAGGATAAAGACTTATTGCTCGATCTTATTTCAACGTAGATCTAAACCAACTCGATATCAGATCATTCTCACTCCTATTTTAAATTGTCTTCTACTAACAGGTAGTCAGGCCTGCCAAATGGGTTGATCTTTTTTTTTTTTTCTTGTGTTTTGCTCAAAATATTTATATTTCCAACAATAATATGAATCCATCTTTTTATTTTTTGTAGATTTGGAAGATGCGAACTGGACCTCGGCTGCTTACTGTGCAATGCCCCAAAGGAAGCATAATTCTGCAACCTTCAACCAGGTCTGTGGCATCAAGTTCATCAACCTACAATCCTCTTGAGGTTTTCTTACTGAATGGAGATTCTGGACAGCTGTCAGTATTGAACAGATCAATTAGTTAAACAAATCCTTTGATATCATTATTCAATAAAAATATATTATAATTAAATATATTAAAAATCTACAAGACTGATATTACATTTTTTTAATTTTTTTTCTTTCCCTGGTGTGAGAGTGTAATCATATTTAATTATTTATACAGTAATATCTCATTGTTCTACTATTAATTTGTTTTTGTTCTCAGTGTTTAACTTAAATTTCTTTTGTCAATCTAATGCTATGTTAGCTGATAGGCTTCATTTGAGACGGCTTTCATACTCCATAAAACAATTTTTTAGTCTAAAAATTAAAATTGTATTAAAAAGTTATTTAAGTAAGAAAGTTGTATCATACGAAGCCTAATTTAGATTGCATTAGTAGGTGATATTGTGTTTTTCTAAATAGTTTTTAAATTGGGGCTTAGATTATCTCAATATTTAGTTTTATGGAGGAAAGAAAAAAGAATTTTTTGTAATTTTCTTTTATTGTTACTAGCGGTGTAAATTAGTTGAGTCTAAACTTATTTTGATAGAAGTTTGAGTTTGATTAATTAATCAACGATATGCTAGAGCTCAAGTTTTATTATAAGATTTTGAGTCAACACATAAATTTGCTTGTTTATTATAAAAGAAAATAATTTTAATTTAAATAATCATTATAATAAATTGATAAATTGAATGAGAAATTAAAAGAGAAATAATAAGAAATCACTTTTTTTAAAAATAAAAAATTAACAATTTAATATTTAAATTTTATTTTATTTTTAACTATTTTATATTAATTTTTAAATGAGTTGACTCATGAGCGAATTAATCTCGTTAGATCTTGCTAAAGTTTAGTTCAATAACTTTCACAAGTCATTTGAGCCGACTTGATTTATAGCCCTATTAAGATATTTTTAAAACAGGTTCTACAGTGTCTGAATGTATAAATATATATTATAGATTTAAAGATGATTCATTTTATACGTTTAATTCAATTTCTTTTGGTAACTAAAAATCTAATTAATTTTAAGCAATCAATCTTTAGTGCTTTGCAATAGTTTTTTTACTGGGATTTCAAAATATAACATTTAGAATTATGCTATTTATATATTAAACTCTTAAAATTATCTATGTATATCAACTAACACATTGTTATTGTCTTTCTCGCAAAGCCTGGAATTCTCACGTTTGACATCGTGAAACCCTTGAAGATACAGAGTTTGCATTTGATGATGTAGAAAGAGAGGATGCTTTGATAAGATTTCATTGAATGGAGGGTATAATAACACCGATGATGCATGAAAATCGGCAAGTCCTCGTGACTAAGAAGAGACCGGAGTAATGATTGAACCTCACTCAACGAGGGCATCAACGAGACTAGCAGATTGTGAATAGGATGCAACTGAGTAAAGCCGGCTCGCGAGCTGACTCGAACTTAACTTGGAGATAACCTCAACGAGTCCAGCTTATTGAGCTCGCGAGTCGAGCTCGAACACTATTTCAAGCTCAACAGCTTATCGAGCTCGAGCTCGAATAGCTCATTGCAGGACTCGCGAGCTCGTCGAGCAGCTCGCGGATGATATTGCTGTGGGAAAATGAAAAGTTGGCGCGAGAAAGATGCTTGCGATGGACGCAAACGGACGTGGACACAAGCTTGCAACGAACACGGGCGGAAGCTGGTGATGGAGGATGGACGCGAACATTGGTGACGTTAGAAGCTGGCATCGACAAACGGACATGGATGCTGGCCACGGATAGAAACTGGCAATGGAGAGACGCTGGCGACACAAGAAGATGGCCACAGACGCGAACGCCGGCACGTCAGACGAACTGAGCTCAAACGTCGCTCGAGCAACTCAACGAGATTTTCTTTCCTCTGTCGAGTCGAGCTAGACTTTTGTGCTCGACTCGAGTTCAAGCTCGATATTTGACAGTCGAGCTCGACTCGAATACCCTTAGACTCGAGCTCGACTCAACTCATTTGCACCTCAATGTTCAAAATAAAATAAAATAAAAAGGAAGTCATGAGAGGATCACAATAGATAAGTGCATCAACCAAATTAGTGTGAGCATCAACACAAGAAGGTTTGAGAAAGAAGATATTTTTACTATCATATAAAAATTTAGATATGTATATTTTGAGGCATTAGATATGTAAATAATATAATTTTAAGTTTTATTTATATAAATCTTCCAAATTTTTATTTGCTTTAATTCCCTATATTTAAAAATAATTGTTCTATAGTCATGCAGAAAAAATTCAATTGTATTAAAGCTTTAAAAAAAAAAATCTGTAAAACTACACTACATCTAACTGTAGAAGATGTTAACACTTAATTATAAGTAATCATAGAAGCAATGGAACAAGTTAATTGTGACAGTTATTTTTAAAGGATTCAAATTTCACTGATAGATAAGTCTACCAAAATTTTCATTTATTGAAGCAATACTAAGAATAACCATTTGAATCAATCATAACATCAATATATGAACTTGTCATCTAAATAAAAATAGAGTAAGATGGATAAACCCCATTGGAAAACTTGATAGAAGTTGATATATATATATATATATAAAGATGATTCATTTTATACATTTAATTAAATTTATTTTGGCGGCTAAAGATCTAATTGATTTTAATCATTCAATCTTTAGTGCTTTGCAATAGTTTTTTTACTGGGATTTAAAAATATAACATTTAAAATTATGCTATTTATATATTCAACTCTTAAAATTATCCATGTATATCAACAAACACATTGTTATTATCATTCTCGACATCATGAAACCCTTGAAGATATAGTGTTTGCCTTCAATGATGTAGAAAGAGAGGATGTCTTGATGAGATTTCATTGAATGGAGGGTATCGATAACACCGATGGTGCATGAACATCGAGCAAGTCCTCGATGACTAAAGAAGAGATGGGAGTCATTATTGAATCTCGCTCAAGAAGGGCATCGACAAGATTGGCAGATTATGAAATGTCCAAAAATAAAATTAAAAAAAAAAGGAAGACATGGGAGTATCACAATAGATAAGTGCATCAACCAATTAGTAGTGTGAGCATCAACATAAGACAGTTTAAGAAAATTGATATTTTTATTATTATATAAAATTTTAGTGTTATATGAGCAGATGTATAATTTGAGGCATTAGATATGTAAATAATATGATTTTAAGTTTTATCTATATAAATCCTCCTAATTTTTATTTGCTTTAATTACCTAAATTTTAAAATAACTGTTCTATAATCACGCAGAAAAAATTCAATTGTATTAAAGCTTTAAAAAAAAAATCTGTAAAAGTACACTACATCTAACTGTAGAAGATGTTAAAACTTATTATAAGTATTCATAGAAGCAATGGAACAAGTAAATTGTGACAGTTATTTTTAAAAAGATTCAAAATTTACTGATAGATAAGTTTACCAATATTTCCAAGCCAAAAACATATATGAGTGCATATAACTCAAATTTTCATTTATTGAAGCAATACTCAGAATAACCATTTGAATCAATCATAACATCAATATATGAACTTGTCATCTATAGATAAACCCCATTGGGAAACTTGATAGAAGTGGTCTATACACTCCTTAACGCAGTTCACAGTTCAAATAATAAAATCTGCAAAATTATACTTATAACAAAGTGTCTAATCAAGTAAGAGTACTCAGGCAAAACAGTTCAGTGGCAGAATATACTCATTTAGTACTGCTGTGGTGGTTTCTGGGTTGGAAGCAAACCGAATCGTTTCTTGAGAAGAACTCGCTGCCTGGAGTACTTGTCATCAGGGGAGAAACGGGCTGCACAGAGAAATAAGAAACTCTTAAGCTATATATTTCATAAATGGAACCAAGCAAAAGCTACCTCATTCTTTATTGGTCCTAATATTTTTACACAACTTTTGAAAACATTTGTTCATAGCTCCATTCTTCTTAATCTTTTAAGACAACAACACCAAGCCTTTGTCCCACTGTGGGGTCGGCTACATGAATCCTTTTTCGTCATTATGTTCGGTTAAAAGTCAAAGACCCAAAATCAACTGCCTAAGCCGAAAGATAGTCATGAGATGACACCCTTAGCAAGGGGTGGGAGGATTCTTCTTAATCCTTTGATATAATTTTATTTTTTGGAGCGATTTCACGTCCAACATGCAAATTTTTAAAAAGTTTAGTAGTATTAGATAAGAATATATGAGTTTTTTAACTCATTTTAAATACTTGGGAGTTGTAAACAAGGAAAGTTTTTACAGTGTGTGCGTAGATCTACCTTTTATCTATTCTTATAGTGTGTGCGTAAACAAGGAAAGTTTTTATTGGCACTTGGTCCATCATAAGTTGTATTGCCACTCTTTTTAATATAATCATTTCTTGTCATATTCTTCGTAATTTTACTCCACATTCATCTTAATATTCTGACTTCTATAGCATTTACTTCTAATTATCACATTCTCAATAGATATTTGCTTAAAAGACTTGCTAGTCCAGAAAGATCACGTCCGAAAATATTTTTCTGGACAAATTGACAACAATTCTGACATAGACTTATTGTTTCTTAAAGCAGCTTTTTATTAAGAAATTAATTTTTTTTATTAGAAAACTTCTTTAATAATAAAAAAGTCTTCTCAAATCATAATGTAACAACAAAAAACATTTAAGCTTAGATAGGCCACAGCGTGTAAAAATTAATGAGAGATTTGTCAACATGGCATAAGACTGATTTTTAATATGTGGGAGAAAATTCATTAATAATATATCCTGTGTTCTAACAAAAATGCAAAATATTAGGGAACAAAGGCACACAGATTCAACTTGCACGCTTCAAATGCATCACATATATTGAAATGAAGAGTCATCAATCAATGACTACTCCATACAGACTATGCCTGAAAATATGTTTCTGGACATATTGACAACAATTCTTCCATAATGTAATAACAAAAGACATAAAGCTTAGATAGGCCAAAGCGTGTAAAAACTGATGAGAGATGTGTCAACATGGCATAAAGCTTATTTTAATGTGGAAGAAAATTCATTAATAATATATCATGCGTTCTAACAAAAATGCAAAATATTAGGGAACAAGACATGGTTGCCCAGACTAGCACAGACTAGGATTTGTACGCTTCAAATGCATCACATATATTGAAATGAGAGTATGTTAATGAACACATTAAAACCTACACCGCAAGGAAGCACTTATAAGGCGGAGGTCATGGCCGACCGGAGGTGGTGGTAGTCGAAAAGCAACATTTGTAGTGTATTTGAAAATCGCTCAAATTGGAGGAATTTCAAATACAACAAAAAAGAACTAGCTGGTGTATTCCAAATGCATTGAAATTTTACTCTGGATTCCTTTTACTTCAAACCAAATGCCAACATTTACAAAACCTTTGCATTTGGAATATTTTACATCCTAAATTATTCCAACCAAACAGTCCTAATGCAATTTATGTAAGAGTACAGAGAACAAATAAAAAAATCATTTAAATATTTTTTATCTTTAGAAGCCCCATGATTGAGCAACAACAACAACAATAACATCAAGCCTTTATCTGATTGAGCACTCTGAAAAAATATCCTTAATGCACATTAAGGAAAAAAGTGTATCAAAGATATTTTGATATTTTTTAAGATATATATAATTGATAAGCGGCTAGCATTAGAAGTGGCCGGGTAATAACCAATAAGTTTTCAAACACAATAAGATTACATCAAAGATTCATATTAAGTTCATAACTATTTACAACAATCATGAAGATGCTCACATGAGATATCTTAAGTGAAGTATTTTTATATATACTATTTGTTGATAGCATAATTTTGATAGATGAAACTACTACTCTTGACATACTTAAAAGCATACAACAACAACATCATGTCTTTATCCCACTGTGAAGTTGGCTACATGTATCCTTTTTCTTTATTGTGCCATATTAAAAGTTAAATTCTCAATTAAATCTAATAAAGAAATGTCATTTCTAATATTTTCTAACCAAGTCTTTTTAAGTCTACCTCTACCCTTCTTAACATAAGTCAAATCTAATACATCTACTTTCCTAACCAGGTCATCAAAAAGATGTCGTTTTATGTGACCAAACCATCTAAGGCGAAAAACATAGAACAATGAAAACAGTTTTCACAATATAAAGTCTTAAAGGTTGATATAACAAAGGCTCCACATATGATATACACTTTTTGCAAGTATAAAATTAATAATAATCACCCAATACTAATATAAGATCAAATAAGTATTATGAGTGGTTAGTTTACATATCTTAAAATATATTGTACAGGAGAATATGAATATGAATATAAATGATGATATAAGTTCTAGAAAAATAATGGTTGGTTAAAATGAAAAAATGCCAAGTAAGCAATAAGACAATATATTGGGGACTTGAAATTAAGTTTTATAATGCTACAATGAGAACTTCTATGTTATATGAAACTTGGATGATTTGGAAAGACACAAAAGAGGATATAAGATATGTTAATAAAATAGAAAGATAAAATAAATGTTAAATTATTATAAGAAAAAGAGAAGACCATTACAAAACTAGAAGTTATAGAGGAATATTTATGCAAACTAAATTTAACAACACTAAACAAAGGAGAATACAGGATGAGATTCACAAAGAGAACTCCAAAAAATTGCGAGGAGACTAATGATGAAGGAAATGAAATATGTTCCATGTATTTTTTTTTCTATTTGATCAAACGAACCAATTTGATTGAATAGTCAACGATGATTCCAAACATTTTCAAGCATTACTATAATGTAAACTAAATTCATTCATTAATATAACATTTCCCTTGAGTTGAACAACAAAATGAGTTAATTGCAGCACAATTTGAAGTTCTAGCTCATAAACAGGTAAAGTTTTAAAGCTATTTTATCAAGATTGTCTGAGAGTGATAGGAAATACTTGAGTCCACAAGTAACCCTAAGGTAATACTTGAGTTAGCAAGCAATCCCAAGCAAAACGGATGAGCAAACAGCAGGATTTCTGCTGTTTACAGCAGAAATCTGCACCAAACCAGAGGAAAACAGATGGAAAAACTGAGAGAAAAACAAACAAAAGCTTGTATTTCACTAGTAGATGAATAAAACATCAAGGATACAATTGATCCTCAATTCAAGAGGAGGATTGATCTCTCCCAAATCTCTAGACGCCGCTAGAGGCCAACGAAACCTAAATCTAAGAGATCTCAAATTTCAGCCAAATTCAAGATGCCCAAACCCTAGAATGACAAAGTATTTAATGCATACAAATCAAAAGGAAATCCCTAAACAGTCCCCACATTCAAATTTCCCTCTCAAAACCCTAAAAAAAGTTACCTAAAAAGCTCCCGCACAGTGTGCGGCTCGCTCAGCATCCCAGCGGGCGGAAATTTCTCCGCCCTGTTCACGTTGGGCCGGTCCCGCACGGACCGGCTGGATCGGTCCACTGGACCGGTCTAAAAATACTCCCCTCCCGAAAATCCACCTTGTCCTCAAGGTGGAGATATGCTCGTGTTCCGGTGGAGGTGACCATCCTTGAGGTGACTGAATAACCTTACTGTATTACTGAACCAAGGGTTGCATGGAAAGAGAAACATCCCCTCCCTCTTCCAATTTGATCGCATCCAGCCTGTGTAGTCCCACCAGATAATCTTCCCCCACCTCTTGTACGTCCCTAACCATGGGGTCTTAAGTAATGTGATGGCTTTGGATAGCTCTGCATCTCCCCTTATGATCACCCTTCTCCCATCCACCATTAATTTCATTGTGAGTGCTCCCCAATTGTCATTGGTTTCCCCAAGGTTTGCAACCACTTCATTCCCAGGATGACATCAGTGCTTCCTAACTCTAGTGGGAGAAAGTCCTCCCTTACTTGAATCCCCTGGATGGTCAACACCACTCCTTTACAAATTCCCTGGCCTTTCTTCACCTTCCTTGTACCCATCATCATCCCATAACAACCAGTGTCCACCAATTTCACTACCAGTTGGTTGACGACCTGTGTAAATGAAATTGTGGGTAGCCCCACTATCAATTAGCACAACCACCTCACGGTCAGCTATCTCTCCTTTCACTTTCATAGTGTAACTCTGAGTGAATCCCACTACAGAGTTCAGAGAGACTTCTACCATATCCAGGTGCAACTTCTCCTCCTCTTCAGATCTGCTCCCACCTCCCTCGTCTTCCTCATCTTCACTGACAAGGAGAACCTTAAGAGTTCGGTCCTTGCACCTATGCCCCGGCATGTACTTCTCATCACATCTAAAGCACAACCCCTTTGTCCTCTTATCCTGCATCTCCTTATCTGTCAGCCTCTTGAAATTTTCCCCACTCCCTCCTATTGGCTTCTTCCTACTGGTCTCATTAATGTTGCCTGATGCAGGCCGCTTGGGTGCTAGAAGAGTGGTTGTCGTCCCATAAGATCCCCCTGAATAGTTTCCTCAAGCCCCTCTTTCTGATTTCTTCTGATCTTCCATCAACTGCGCTAGCTCCATAGCCTTCCCGAGATTCCTCGGCTCCAGCACCCTGACCGCTGTTCGTATCTCCGGTTTTAGCCCCTTTCATGAAATTCCCTTTTAGGGCTGACTCTAAAATGTGATCCAATCTGCTAGCCAAGTACTCAAACCTATCGTAGTAATCTGCCACAGTCCCCTTCTGAGTTAAGGCAAAGAATTGCTCATAGAAGTCTCCTTCCACATCGGCTCGGAAACGCTCCAATAAGCAATCTTTGAACTCTCTCCAGCTCCGGATGGGCTCCCTCCTGTCACGCCATTGGTACCATGCCAAGGCTTTTCCTTCCAAACACAATCCCGCCGCTGTCAGCTTCTCTTCCTTTGTCAACCCGTTGATAGGAAAGTAACGCTCCACCTTGTAGATCCAATCATGGCCGTCTTCACCCTCAAAGACGGGCATCTTCAGCTTCCTCACTCGTGGGTCTCCTCCATTTCCTCGGTATCCTCCATAAGCTCCCATTCCTCGAAGGGGAAGAGTTCCTCAAGTGTCCCGATCATCCCTCCGACGATTATACTCGAATCCCTCTTCATACTCTCCTCTTCTCCCTTCAAAATCATCACCTCAACGCTGAAATCCTTCAAATTCAGCACCTCGACAAGGACGTTCCTCCCTTCTTCCTTCAAAAATAGCCTCTCGGCGATGAAATTCTTCCCTTCCCCCTTCAAAATCGGCACCTCGACGCTGGATTATTTCAAATTCAGCACCTCGGCGATTGAATTCTTCCCTCATTCCGACAAAATCAGCCTCCTGTTGGTCGTATCCCTTACTCATCTCTTCTCCTCCTCCAGGATCTCCACTTCTGAATTCCTCCTCCCCATAACGGGTTCAGATTTCCTCCCATGCCATGGTCGTCGGTGGTCTCTCGTACTTCCGATGTCGCCGGATTGGTCTTCATTTCAAATAATTTCTTCATCATTTCTTCCATCACGGTGAACTTCCCCTTTAACCTTTCATTGTTGGAGATGATTTGATTTTGAAAATCGAAAAATCTTCCCTCCAAATCGGATTTCAATTGTCCGATTTCGCCTTCCAAGACTTCTACCTTCTTCCCGGCCATCGTTCTTCCCAAGAATCAAAAAGATCTTTTTCCGGAAATGAAAATCAAGCTGAAATTTCAAGATTTCAGCCGCCAACGGTCCCAAAAACAATGCTCTGATATCAATTTGATAGGAAATATTTGAGTCCACAAGTAACCCTAAGGTAATACTTGAGTTAGCAAGCAATGCCAAGAAAAACGGATGAGCAAACAGCCGGATTTCTGCTGTTAACAGCAGAAATCTGCACCAAACCAGAGGAAAACAGATGGAAAAACTGAGAGAAAACCAAACAAAAGCTTGTATTTCACTAGTAGATGAATAAAACAGCAAAGATACAATCGATCCTCAATTCGAGAGGAGGATCGATCTCTCCCAAATCTCTAGACGCTGCTAGAGCCCAAAGAAACCTAAATCTAAGAGATCTCAAATTTCAGCCAAATTCAAGATGCCCAAACACTAGGAAGACAAAGTATTTAATGCATACAAATCAAAAGGAAATCCCTAAACAGTCCCTACATTCAAATTTCCCTCTCAAAACCCTCAAAAAAGTTTCCTAAAAAGCTCCCGCACGGTGTGCGGCTCGCTCAGCATCCCAGCGAGCAGAGATTTCTCCACCCTGTTCACGCTGGGCTGGTCCCGCACGGACCGGTCTAACAGAGAGCTACCATATTTTCAAACTCGATACATGTTTCAGAGACGTCTTTCACATTTAGCACTTGAATTCAAGCAATTTAGATATCATACGAACCAAAAAATTCTTTAACAACCAGTTAACCTCTATAAAAATGAACAACATCCACCACCTCTCTTAATCCTAACAAGCAGCAGACTGAAACATAACAAAAGAGATAGGCAATCAAACAACAAAACTTCTGGGGAAAGATGATCACCAAAAAGTGATTTAGGCCTGAAGATAAAGCATGAAAAGACACAAAACTTGAAATTCTTTTTGAGCATTAGGAGATCACATATGTAAACCAGTTAATACTTCAGGCGTAACATAACTAAACACCTTTTGGGAAGGTTTGAAAAACTTGGTTAATGCAAATATTAATTCTTTAGGAGAAAAACTACTGAGAAATAATTTAGTGCAGCCAATTATTAATTGACATGATGGAAAATACAGTGCAGCGGACAGGAAATACATGATAGCTAAGAGATTTTGCTCTTGCATGCATCACGGGAATCATCTTTCTTGAGCTCATTAAACCAACACAAAACAGTTGCAAAATCTATACAAAAAGAGATCTTAATTTATAATGTGCATGATGATGTACAGATTCTCCGCCTTAAAGTGTAAGATAACCAACAATAATAAAGAGAAACATAGTTCAAGAATAAATGTATAATACATATTCAGAAGTAAATAAATTTAAGGACCTACAATCATTCTCAAAGTCTGAAAAATAGAAAGAAAAAATGGTAGGTCAAACCTAACATGCTTAGAAGTTGTTGAAAATGGTTTAACACAACTAAAAACTCAATCAAATAGTAGTTGGATTAGGTATTTCGGGGAAATAAAGGCTCAATATGCAAATCATAAATAGTTAAGATTATGAATGATGACATATAATATGAACATGTATGCTCCTTTGAAGAAGATAAATTACATCCAATCCTGAGATTTAGTGCGCGTTTCACATAGGTCCACATTTTAAAGAATGTTACATTTGGGTGTCTAATGTTTGATTTTGCACTTCCAATAGCCACTTCCGTGACAAAATTGTTTGAAAGTATATCTCGATTCCCAAAATGACATTAACATAAAATGGGTGATTGGAGTTTTGCCTGCATTTCACGGCTCATTGTCTTTGTCAAGCACATTATCATATCTAACCGTCAACCACGGGGATCATAAAGGGGGGAATCTCCATTAAAGGGCCAAGTAATGCAATTTGCAAGTATTTTCTCCTCTCATTTCTTCAAAGGAGATTTCAAACGCGTTTCCATCTAGGAATTTTCAAAACCAAAATTTTTTGCTTTCAAATATTATTTAGGAACAATATTATAGTTGTATGTAGAATTTTGCACCAGTTTTCTAAGGTATTGACTTAAAATATAAAAACTAAATTTCTTAGTTCATATTCACAACACTAAATCAATCACCCACACTCAATAACCCATTCATCGAATATTCTCATTTTCATTTCTCTTTGTTGGATCACAACTTTGATTTCAGAACAATTTCTGATGTCATCTCAACATCAACATCTAACATCATTACAACATCGACATTTCAAAACCATCTCAACATCAAAATCTAACATTGTTTTGACATTAATGCTCGACGCTAATAATTTCTACACTCACAACTTGACAACTCATCTTTATCCAACCTCATCTTAACATCGACGACTAATGCCCTCTCAACATCGACGAAAGACGCCCTCTTAACATCGGCGCTTGATACTTACTACATAACATCGATGTCTGCCTCTCGACAACATTGTCATCTCCTCTTTCAATGCTAAATACACGTCATCGACTCCCGACTCTCGACATCCTAATATTAATCATTTTAAGCACAAATTCTAATTAAATAATTTATTATTTCTAAATTATTTTTAATAGTATGCTTATTCAACTTTCATACACTTTTTAAAATATAAAAATTATAATACTGAGTCCAATCAGTGTTTGTGTCCTATATTTTCAACAATTGACGTGTTTCATGCCAGTGTTATGTTGTATATCTATAGTTGTGTCCGTGTCTATGCATTACAGTCGAGCACTAGTGATATAGCAAAAAGTTTCAATGATGCAAATATAGGGTTTTTAAAAATATGCATCAGAGTGAAACGCACATTAGATCTTGGGGACTCAAAAATGATTTAAATAGAAAAAGGTAGACTAAAACTTATAAAGAAGGAACTACATTCAAGGAGGTACATACAAGGAGGTAATGCAATTTAAGAACAAGTTAGTTTCTAACTATATTCTATTGCATGCCCTGAAATCAGACATCATATATACACACATCTAAGTTGAATGCAAAAGTTAATGTCAATATAAGTGCTACAAAGCTAAAAAAACATGATATTTGGTTTATGATCCATAAATAATATCAATGTCCCTCAATTACTTGTAAGACAATTACAAATATATATTTCTTTGACGTCCATAACAAGTTATCAAACTAAGGGTTAGGAATGCAAAGTGAAAACGAAAAGGTAAGGGCAAGGAATGATCCAAATCTACCTGGATGAGCGGATTCCGTTGCTACACCAAGTGGTGATTCTTTCTGCAAAAAGTAAATCATGTGGCATTAACATGAGTTTGAAAATTCATTTTAACATGTTACATAGCTAAATTATTTAAATTTCATTTTTAAAAAATGCTGAAACATAAGAAAATGGGAAATGCTAGATTCTTTCTGCAATTTATAGTGATGCAAAAAAAGAGATGCAAAGATTGAAATTTTATTCTATATATACCTCCAGCTTATGAAATTAAATCTTCTTTATTAAACAACAGATAAAGTATCACTGGAGGTTATAAATTCTTAATCCAAAAAATGCCTCACTCAATGCAATCACAATATAAAAACTTATTTTTTGAAACTTATTTTGTAGCAATTCACCTTTTTAAAGGCAAAAGACTATTTACAACAAAGGATAACAACTCATATTAAGCATATGCATTTTTTCATGATCATAGCAATGGAAGTTTAAACAGCAACAAAAACTCAATTTTTTTTTAAATTAATCATCCCATTGATATATATATATATATATATATCGCCCGTCAGAGCATGCCTCTAGATATCACATTCGGTAAAATAAAAAGATGAAGCATGAACTGAAGTTAGAAGACTATTAATACACTCCACAATAGTACAACTGGAAGCAAGATAATAGCTATTAATTACCTTGGTGGTGTAGACCTTATCACCATTATCATTGATGTAAAACTGAAGGTACATGACTATCAAAGTCCAATTAGAGACCTAAAAAATTCCGAGAAAATCGAGTTAAATACATACTGGCATATTCAAAATCATTAGTTGAAGCATTCGTAAAGGAACATAGTGAAATTATTTTCTTTCTGGTGATGAATAAAACCAAAAGTACATCCCCTCTACCCTAAATCCAAAAACCGCAGTAAAAGTAGCCGAACAGGGTAAATGTTTCGAAGCAAGAAAAAGAAGCAGAAGAAATGGCGAACCTTGAACAATTAAAGAAGGACGTACGCGGGAAGAAGAAGGGGGTATAACCCCAAAAAAGTAGGGGTAGACATGATGCTTGAATAGAAATATGGGAGGAGAGAAAAGGTGGAATGTGCTAAGAAGGACAATTCAAGAAGCAGATGCGATGAACGCTAAAGATGATCAGGTAAATAGAGAAAATACCAAGACGTAAGGTGCGAGGTTTGGGAACCAGTTGCGATCGGAGTCCGGCGAGGATCGGTGGTGCAGGCTGTTACGAGGAAGGATCGAGTCGGCGGACCAGAAAGAGGGAGTTAGGGCTTTGTTGACGTTTTCTTTAATCAAATATAAAAAAATTGGGATTTTTACAACATACCACTTTATAATATATGTATTATATATTTAACACCTAAAATTTAAATATTACATCAATACCACTTAAAAATAATTTTTACCTCAGAAATACAACTCTGTTAACAGCGAGTATCACTCCGTTATTTCCATGTTCCCGCCTTGATTTTTTCGCGGTAGAACTCGTTTCAGCAAATCCCTTCGTATTCTCTTCCTCCGTATTTGCTCTTCCACCGAAGCTGTTCCTCCATGCGAGTTCTTCCATCCGTATTCACCAGGTGAATTTTCTCTGGGTTTTTATTCCCGCCTCGCCTCTGTAGCTTGTCTGCTCTTCCTCCGAAGCTGTTCATCCACGCTTTTACTGAAACTTTCAGTTTTCTGATGCCTGGAAAAAAAAAGTGACCCCAAACATACTTTACGAGTCCAGAAAAAATATACATCGCATACATCACTTCCCTTCAGATCGATCTAATTCAGAGAAGATGAAACATTTTCCTATGTTTATGGCTTTATGAAAGTTTTGTCAGCTATAATATCTGAAACATTTTCCTATGTATTTGGGTTTATGAAACATTTTCTTATGTTGAGGCTTTTACTGAAACTTTTAAAAAATGAAACATTTTTGTTATTCTTTTATATTTAGATTTTTGGCACTAATTAACGGTGTGATGTTGTGTTTATTTCAGCTTGAACCTAATGAAAAATGACAACCTCATGGCATAATTCGGTAATGCAGGATTGTGACGAAGTAATAAATGATTTATGTGGAGATAAAAATGAGCATTTTGTTTATTGCTTTTAAATTTGGATGCATCAAATATCTGATGGCTACATCAACAAGAAAAATTGCAATGAAGACTTTCATCAAATATCTGATCCAGTCAAGCCTCTTAATAACCTGTGCCTCAAAGACTTTGCGTTCATCATCTGTTCCATAATATGCATCTTCTACTTCATCGATCCATCTAAAGTATCTGCAATCGTCATCAGTTCGATTATTCATGCACCCATAAAATTGTCTTCCACTATTAGGACCACGGTGGCATGTATACAAGACACAATTCAGCCGACAATAACAATAAACTTCAGCTCGTGTGCGCCTCGTGCCAGACGAATTCGTAGAACTCATTTCAAATGTTATAACAATCTGTCAACAAAGACAAAAAAATTTAGGGATTACCATACAAATTCTTTTAGAGATTACAGCCATTATGTAGCAAAAGACAGAAATTTATAAAAAGTAAAGTGTGGTCACTCCAAACTTAAACACAAGCAGCTTTGAACTAAACCTGAGGAAGATGTGAAAAATTCTACGAATTAGTCTCTGAACTAAACCTGAGGAAGATGTGAAAAAATCTACAAATTTCAACTAAACACAATCTGTCAACAAAGACTTAGAAATTTACAAAAAGTGAAGTGTGGGAAATTCTTTGAAGTTAGGAAAATCTTTGAAGCAAAACCAATCTCTGACCTAAACCTCTACGAATGCAAGAGTGAAGTGTGAAAAATTCTGCGTATAAGATAACCTGAGGAAGATGACCGGAGATAGAGCTTTTCCGAACGAAAATGGAGCAGAGCTAGGGCTTTCGGCGGGGTAGCGCTAGGACTTTCCGAACGAAAATGGAGCGGAGCTGCTCGCGACAGCTAGCGAGGAGAAGACATTTCGGCTGGGCGCTAGGGCTTTGCTAACGAAAATGGATGGGGACTAACGGAGTGGTATTTTTGTTATGAGAATAGTATTTAGGTGGTATTGATGTAATATTTAAGTTTTATGTGTTAAATATGTCATACATATGTTATAAAGTGGTATGTATGTAAAAATCCCAAAAAAAATTTGTTAATAGATGACTTTTTTTTTTAAGAATAGGTTACAAAAAACTGTCAAAAAAGAAAATCCAAACTCAAAGCTCTAACAACAAAGAGAGCAGAGTCAAAAAAACTAAAGGAAGCCTCAGAAAACACAAAAAACATCGAATGCCAAAAGGTAGGCCGAAGGGAAATTATAGTTAAGGGGTTGTTTTGGCAACAAGAGGGTAAATTTAAATTTAGTAAATTTTGAAAATTATTTGGTATTATATATATTAAATTTTGATAAATCTTGAGAAATTATTTGGCAATGTAATCTAAAATTGGCTGTTGATTTATTTAGAAATTAAATTTAATGTGCTTTGAATTTAATAAGTTATGATTATATATAATATAATTAGAAAATTAGCTTAATTATTACTAATTATCAAATTAATTATTTAGGTTTTAATTTAAATTAATTATTAGATTATTAATTATCTAATTATATTCTTAAACCCTAATTAATTAGTTAATTTTTTAAAAAATTATAAATTATTTAAGTAATACTCATATTAATGATTTAATTAATTATTTAAGTATTAAACTAATTTAATGACAATTATACTACTAACAATTATAATAACTAATAAATCACAAATATTAATTAAATTAATTTAATGAAAACTATACTATTAATTATTTAATTAAATTGATTTAGATTACTTAATTACACTACTAATAATACTACTAATTACTTAATTAATCTAAATTATATTAATAATGCTAACTTAGACTAATTTATAATTTAGTATGTCGTATAGCTATAGGGTTTGTATTTACTCTAATAATATGCTTCCTTGCTTTTCCTTGTTTCTATTTCTTGGTGGCCGCTTTGGCTTCACGTTTAGTGCGTGCTTCGCACAACGAGAGATCGCTTGTTGTTTCATCTCCTTTGAAGGAGTCGAATTGAAAGTCTTGATGGGAGCTCGTTCAATGTGTAAGTAATCATATTTGCCTCCTCCTTCCTTCATGATTGGAGCTAGCACGCTCGTAAGCTCGTAAATCTTGTAATCCATAAATTTGCCAAAACAACGAGGTTTAGTAAATCCCGGATTTACATCGTAAATCCTTAAATCTAGAATTTAGAGGGATGAGATTTATTGTGTGCTCGATAACTGTTTGGCGGGATTTATCGTAAATCCAGCTTAAAACTTGCAACAAATATGATACCAAACAACCCCTAAGTGTAATATAAATCAAATATAATGTATTTAAAATTAAAGGATTCTTTTCTGATTTACATTACATTCTTATAAGTTTTTATGTATTTATGAGTTCATTTGGATATATATTTATGAGTTTACTTAGGAAGGCTATAAAGTTTTATAATATTAATTTTAAAGTAATTGTCCTGAAAGCAATGTTTTTAAAAGTTCTATGAATATTATAAATATATTCTGTAAGATAATAATATTTTGAAAAGTTTAAGGCAATATTTTTTTAAATATAAAAGTTGTGTGAGATATACAATTAAAAAAAATTTAATAATATGCATATAAATTAAAAAAAAAATTTTGAGTTGGAACTACTCAAAATTGAATTGGCATTACATTTAAGTATTGAAGTGCACAAACTTATAGTTGATATAAAATTTATATGCTTACAAAACTCTTCATAGGTGTTTCACAATGAGCAATCGGATCATAATAACAATACTCACCCTCAAGAGAACTCGCTCGAGGAGATCAATGGACTCTACTTGTTCGAGAAGATCAACAGACTCTATTTTCCTGAGGAGGCCAGCAGGCTCTACCTACCAGAGCATACTAAGAAGCTCGCCCTACACCTGCAAATAAAAAATCCCTCGTCAAACCGTCGCTTTTCAATACATCTATTACTAGCTCTCCCACATAAAATTTAAGATTGCCTAATTCAGCAACAGAAAGACCCTTATTACAATAAATCCCAACATTGTTCAGCTGCTACTATTCGACCTAAAGCTCCCCCATTCTCATAATATCTTACTCGCAATTTTTCCTCAAGGAAGCCTGAGATATTCTAGACAAGTCATTAGTTGCATGTGGCCACTTGCCAAGGCTTACTCACATACTCACCTAGAACTTACTCGCTGCCACCAAGCTCGACCATTGACTTCATCATCATCCATCCTATCAGGAGGCGACAAGAGTTTAGATTAGTGTGAAGCATTGTACAGATATTCTGTGTAGCTTGTAATTTTATATTTTTTTCCTATATAAACTTTAATGTAGCACTCAGAGCCCTATAGAAAGGGGTGATGAGGAATAATAGTGAGACCCTGAGTTTTCTCTAATAGTAAAAATCCTGCCAAATTGAGATCTCTAGATCATTTTCTTTGCTTTCTCTACTCTCCCTACACTCTACATTCCTTCTCATTGACCTACTAGTAAAGTAGGCATTACCCATAGACGAATTCAGATTCAACATCCTCATAGCTGCAGTGAGCATGGAATCGATGTCAATGATGAGAATATAGGCACAACATGATGAACAACTTCCATATGATCCCTTAGTAAGCATGCAAAACACCAAATTTAGTACACGCTATGACCTATAAGAGATGGAAGAGAAGATCATCAAGATATTCCAAGATGCCTTGGGTGCCTCTACGGGTGAGTGAAGTCAATAGTGTCCTTGAAGGATCTTTTGACTCAGCAACTCATTGCAAGCCCCAAAAGAAAACATATGAACGAGTGACAAAGTTTGTAAGTCGCCAGCTAGGCAAACCAAAAGAGATAAGCTCGAGCTTACCATCGCCTTCTCCAAGGTAATTGTTGAGGCCAGGCTACCTCTGAAGTTCAAGGTATCTCAAAGTCATACAAGGTAAAACCAAACCAACTAATCATGTTGTAATTTTGTAGTTGATGGCTTTTTTACATGATGTGGATGACATCCTTAAGTGTCTACATTTCTTCTCCACACTTAAAGAATCAGTGCACATGTGGTTCACTTGTCTTCCTCTTGGAGTGATCTCCTTTTTTGTTGAATTCAAGTGAATATTTATAACATAATTTGTAAGCACCCAAAAACCCTAAGAAAGCTCGTAGACCTTTTGTAAAGATGTGATAAGAGCCAGGAGAATAATTGAGGTACTTTATATAAAGTTCCAAAGGGAAATTCTAGATTGAAGGATTTGGAGCCTAAATTCGCCTAAGCTGCATTAACCCAAGGACTAAGAGTTGGTCCCTTCAGGTATGCACTCAACCTGTAATAGCCAAAAATACCCATCAAGCTATTGAAGCTAGCCAACAACTATGTTAATGTTGAAAAGTATGACTAGATGGTTAAATCCTCCTCAGCCACTTTCTCCCACTAAACTGGTGTAAGAGGAGAGTAGAACCAAGGAAAAGATAAAGAAAGAATCAGTCTCAAGGATAGGTGGGACTAGATACCTAAACTACAACATGATCACCATCACCTAGAGTACCATATGAGGCCCATGCATTTAAAGCCTTTGAGGATAGTAAGGCTGTCAACACCAACGGCATAGGAGCTCCCACTTGCCACTCACAAAAACCATGAAGATGTCACCCATTGACCTCTGACCTACCCTACATATGCTCCTCTACGAGTGTATATGGATGAGCTTATTGATGCCATTATGAACAAGGAGTTTTTTAGGCACCCATTATCAATGAAGGCTATCACACATGTTCATGAGACATCGAGACATTGTACCTTTTGCATGGATCACAACCCTAATATGGAGGAGTGTTGCCACATGCGAGGTTTGGTGGAAGATCTCATTTAAGCATGAAAGTTTAAGGAGTTCATGCTCATCATACCAAGAAAATGACTTGGGAAAGCACCCATAGATGGTAGGGTGAATGAACCTGTCTCTGCCCACTCAATACACATTCATTGGAGTGGTGCTCATCATCTTAGGTGGTGAGCAAGTAGACTTACCATAGAGCATGAAGAACATGCTGGTTGGAGAGGTGAACTCTACATCCATATTATGAGCTACAAGAATGGGCATTTCCCTAGTCAATTTTTATGAAGTCAACAAGCCTACTGGAGGGAGCTAGCATAACAACATAATAAATATCCTAGTTAGGATTGCAAACAAGTTGAGTCGAGCTTGAGTCAGGCCTAACTTGAGCTCGATTCATGAGCCAAATCTCTAGCTCGAACTTGAGTTAATCTCAAAAGATAAGCTCGAGCTTGACTCATCCCACAACAAATGGTTTGTCGAGCAACTGGATTCTGCGATTTGAGCACACATACGACATCTCGCCAATGCACTTCACCCCTTTTGCCTTTTACATGAGGTTTGCACGTAATACCATGGTCCGCATCTCGCTATCTAGGAGTAGAAAAAATGGTTGTGACCACTACCATAAAAAGAAGACCTCTAACTAGATGTAGAGTGAGTTATAAGCTTAGATACTATAAGAGCGGCGGAGGAGATATATGCTATCAAGTGAAAATTGAGCAAAAGTCTTAAAATAAGATTCTCCTTTAGTGAGGATCATAAGAAATAGATGTTCCAAGCCCTTAGAGGTGACCTAAATGTATTTGAATGATTGAAATAATTTAATTTTAGGATGTGGTTGAAATTAACGGATAAGCCAAGCAATTAGGTCATGGAAAACCCTAAGCTCTATATGGGGATTCTTTATCTTGGATTTCTTATGGTGAAGGACACAAGGCAATAAGTCAATTTTGAATATTAGGGTAATATATTTAGATGTTATTTGGAGTGTTTCGTGAAATTTCATGTGTTTTAGAGGCCAAAGGATGGAAAAATCAATACTATATAAATTTGAGCTTGTTTGAATATATTTGATTAATCTTGAAACATTTAGTTGGTTGAGGGACTTAAGGATGTATTAATGCACTAGATAGGCTATGGAATGTTAAGAGAATATTATTTGGATGTTAGATTCGGAGCATATTAAAAGAGGAAGTTTTGATGGGCTAGAAAGCTAGGAAAAATCTTTAGGGTTCCAACCAAGCACTTTCCAATATTTTAACTATTAAATCAGGCTCTAATGTTTAAAATTTAAAAATATTAATAAAATGGGGAAATGCAAAAATTAAAGGGAGAAAATAAGAAAGTGGAGTGAACCACTCCAATTCCACTCCTAATACAGAGCTGTAGTCCTATAAATAAGGAAAATTAGTTTAATTTGAGTTGAAAATAAATTTAAAACTTCTAATATGGTGGGAGAGTTAAAATTTTGAATTTCAATCTTAATGAATTTTATGTTTTTATAATTTTAAATGTTATTTTAGTTTTTATGTTTTTTTTCTTATTAATGAATTTTATTGTTAATATATGGTGATAATGCTCTCTTGGCCCTAGATTTTATCAAGAACCATTAAACTTAATCTAATAATGGAGCCATGATGATTTGATATCTTAAATTAATTAGTCTCATCTACCAACTTGGGATTATGTTTTTGTGTCTTTAGAGGATATAATTTATGGCTGCTAATAAAAGTTTAATTAATGGATGGTTTTCAAATAACTTGAACTATGAAATGACACACCAAGAAGGGAGTGAATTGGTGTTTTAATTTTTTTTTTAATCCTTTTGAAATTTAAACAATTAAATTCAAATTTTAAAATGTTGAAGCTAATAGCAAGAAAAAAATACTTATTTTTTGTTTTGATTTTTGTTGAAAAATAAATAAAGATTTTTATTTATTTATAGAATTTATTTCTTTTTCAAACAAAAACTAAATCTTAAAACAATCACAAAGATTTTGTATTTCAAAGATAACAATGCTCAAACCCATATTTACATAAATTAAAACTGTAAGAAAAGCGCAAGAAAGTAAAGTGTAAAAAGAAAAAGAAGAAGCACACTATAATTTTATAGCAATTCGGTCAACTTGAACTAGGTCCACTCCTTGAAACCCTCCTCTTCGAGTATTATGCTAAACAATTAGTGACTCTCCTTCAGCCCCCATGGTAAGCCGTTACAAAGTCACTTCCACCAACCTAGCAAAACAGAGTAATTGAATCCCTTTCACCAACACGGTACAACAAAGTGGCCAAATCTCTTCACCCTTCTGGTAGGGCTGATTAGCTCAAATCATTTTCACCCTCTTAGTGAGGCGGAGTAGCATAATCACTTTCACTTTATCCAGTGAGATAGAGTAACCCAATCACTTTCATCTTCTCTAGTGCGGTAGAGTACCCAGGGACCTTTAACACTGAAGAGGTCTTCTTCCTAAAGCTTCCCTTAAGATAAACCTTAATACATGGAGGAACTTAGGGGCAAGTTGGTTGGAGAAACTATGTGAAACTTCATCTCACACTCCCTTGAACCCACAAGGATCCTTTTATTCTCTCACAAACTCCACATTTTATCTCCCTTGCTCAAAGGCCTCTCTTCAACACTTTCTCACAAAAGACTCCACCGATTGACTGTCAAAGACTCTTACAAAGTCTATTAAGAAAGGTTAAATAGTGGGCTTCTAAAAATCTTAATTTTTTAATTCTATCGACTCTGTCCCTACAACATGAAATCTAATTCATATAATACAATTAGTTCAATTATCCCACTACTAGTATATACTTACGGCGTCGGAAATTAGCCGTTTCATACTTACGGCGCACCTACGACGGTTTATGCGCCTGTAATTTCCGTCGAATAAATACGACGTAAACTACCGACGCATTCGTCATCAGAATTATCGATTGAAAGTTGCCGTCTTTTTATATCACATTTTGCGTCGGTAATGCGTCGGAACGTGTGCCAGAAGGGTTTCCGACGCATTACAAGCGTCGGAAGACATTTAGCGACGCACGCCAAATCGGCGGAGAAAAATCCAACGGAAATGCGCCGGAACCGAGGATTTCCGTTGGATATAACGGATTACCAGCGGATACTGTCCGCCGGTAACAACGTGTTTTCCTGTAGTGTATTTTATGATGGATGGCAATACAAAATAATCAGTTTAATTTCTCTATGGATCGTACTAGATGAATGAATAGCATTACAATATGATTAGTTCAAATCAAATATTGGGTCGTATAGGTCAAACTAAACATCATCTAGAGTGTCCTCCAGTGAGCCATACAATATGATATATGATCATACGATATGATTTATAGTCAATTCTAATTCTATTGAATTCCTTGATTTATTAACCTAAATTAGAAAATAATTCAAAAGATCGCACAATTTGAAAGCATTCGTATAGTATGAACACTTCAAAATTTAAATTTACCTATTTTATTTAAGTTAAATTTGATGGCAAAATTTCTTATTATAGATGATCGTCCAGTATGACGTGGTATTCAAATTATATGATTAATTATTATTTAAATTTATTTTTTCATTTAAATTAAAAAAATTAATTACTTTTTATTTCAACTAATCATATAGTATAATTTGGGTCATACAATACGATTAACAAAAAATAATAAATTTTTTCACTCCCATTTTGTATATGTGTACGGTTACTAAGATAACATACAACTTTTTACATGATTGACTCAAAAAAAAAAATTACAAACTCTTTCAAATAAGCATAACATATGCAATTTATTCTTGAGTTTTGATTCTTCGATGATTGTGTGTATGCTGAACCTAAAATGTTAGTACTTTACACAAAAAATATGCAATATATAAAGTAGGAGAAATTAAATAAAAATATAATAATATTTATAATCATCAAAACATAATGTTGGGCTCCCGAATTATAACAACTAATAAGGATAATTATGACATGTGCACTTGATTGAGTAGATCAAGGCTCTAATGATGGAATTAAAATATCTTATTATGTTTTTTCCTCCTAAACCATTAGGTTAAAATACCCTTTTTTCTTTCAATTGGAACTTGATCAATTCATCCTTCTTTCCTTACCATTTTATTCTTTTCCAATGTTATGGGTTGTAAAGTTCTATTTCCATGTCATCTCACTAAACTGTAGTTTTAAAGTTTGTTAGAACATGAATTCATCCATATTCCATAATATAAGTACTATTATCTTTGATATTCTTCATCATTTAATTTTATTCTCTTAAGTATTCTTATGTTTGAATTATATTTTTAATAAAATAATCTATATACTTCTTATATAAATAAGGTGTTTCCCCTAACTTAGGACCCCTTGATGAAAATCCAGTGCTAATATGTCCCTTTTCCTAGAATCTATCAATACCTTTCATCATATCCTTAACCAACATTCATACATAGGGCATGCCTTGATCCATAGAGTCTCTTTAACATGTGTAGCATTGCCCATATATTAATGATAGCTTATTTTTAAAGCCATATAGATACATTGGTTCCAATTCACTATCTTTCTTTGAGTCTTGTAATATCCTTATTATAATATTAGAGACCATCCAATCCATCTAGCATTAAGATAAGTTGAACATAAATGAAATTCTTTAACCAAAAAGTCTCTCAAATGTTCCCGAGATGTAATTATCCTGGGAGCTTACTCATTTGAGAAATAATTCCCTCCATCAGTAAAAGAGGCCCTTTTTAAAACCCATATTTCATGCACAAAAAAAAAATGATTTAACTTTCCATTGATGCCGTATATCTAAAGAGCGGATTGGTTTGCCATAAAAATTTGATTTAATAAATGTAATAAAGCTAAATAATTAAAAATCTATATTGTGGTGTTAGTATGAGTTTTGAGGTGTCAAAGTTAGTAATGGATGAGGATGATTGGTTTGCTTGGTTAGAGACCCAACAATAAGGAAGATGGGCCGGGCATCATACGTCAGCCATGGATAGATGTTGAATGTTGACTGATAGTTTGTGTTACATACCAATCAACATATTATAATGAATTATAGGGCATGGTAGATGATGAACATTGTTGTTGTCCTAACAAGAGGGAAGATTAAGTAATGTGGCTAGTAGACATAAATATGTATTGTTGGTATGTATTGGATGATGATTAATGGAGAATGTAGATGTTGGACAATGAAGGAAAATTGATTGAGTTCTTCTCCTACTAGACAACCAACAAGATATGTGTTAGAATTTAACAACTAAATAACATCAAATGGTGGCTAGCACCATTGTTGGATGATCATCGAAACTAATTGGTGTTGATGACTACTTTAATTTTAACTTTGTTCAATGATTGACATTAAGTAATTAATGACAACATGTGTCAACTTTGGTTGATGGGGAGCGTTAATATGACTACCTAAGTTGACCATTACTTTATTTTCTCCAATTTTGAGTTAATCATGCAACTCCAACTTAGAGCCATTCATGATTTATTTAGAATCACATATGGAGTAGAATTGGATGGACTCCCAAGATCTATTTTGTGATTCCTCTAGACTAAATTTATTTTTTATTCTAGTATCCAATCATTGAATATGAACCAAAGTGTATGTGGGCAATATTGGATTGGAAGAAAATGAATTGAGAATAAATTAAAGATAGTTAGATGGACATGAATAAAATAATTAGGTTGTTGTTATCATTTTTTTTTTTTTGAAGAACTAAGGGCTTACTTGGGATAGCTTTCTCAATGTTTATCTATCAGACACCTGCTTACTGCTTTCTAACTGCTTTTTAGAAATTTATACAATGGAAAGTTATTTTATGTAACTAGAGTAGCTATGTTAGCTAGGCTCTAATTGAGATAACTTTCTTAATACTTTGTTTTATAGATTGCAACTATAGTTTTTATTTTTTTATTATTATTTTCTTGCATCTAAAGAATTTTTATAAAAACTTATAAAAAAGTTATTTTCTCACAATAACTTTACAACCACCTTCACAAAAAGATGCAGTCATCCCAAATAGACCCTTACTTTTCTCACAATAATTTTACAACCAACATTATAAAATATTGTAGTCATCCTAAACAAATCCTAAATCAAGAATTTCTTACTATGCAATTCAGTGATTGGATCGAAATCCTCACCCATTAAAAATCATTCCAAGTAAGTTGACTCCATTTAGGATTTGTTTTGGATGGCTACATTGTTTGGTAAAGTTGGTGGAAAAGTTGTTGTGTGGAAAACAACTTATCTATTATTGTTGCAAAAAAAAAAAAAAAAAAAATCTTCCCAAAAAAAAAAAACAATCTTCCACAAAATTTTATGAATAAATGTGAAAAACAGAAATAAAATATTAGCCAAATAAAATTGTGACTGCTATATGAAAAACAAAGAAGCAATAAAGAAGTCCTAAGAAGACCCTTAGTTATTTGACTAAAGTGTCACTAATATCTATTTGCTTTCTTTAATAATTAAAAAAACATAGATAAATTATAAAATATGTATCCAAAATTGCAAACCTTAATAAAATAATCTTCTTTCTCTTATCAACTGGCCTTCAATGCTTTCCCATATTTAGGGTTGACTGTTGCAGTCTTTTTATAAAGATGATTGTGAAGATGTCAGTAAATTTGACTTTTTTCCCCTACCAAGCTTCTGCTTTCTCCGCCCCCTCTGGCTAGGCCGGAGGTTTCTTGTCCTTTCATGGAGGCGTCCCTCCTTTCTTCTGAGTTCCCTCCTCTTCCTAATGCTGGTTCAGCTGCTCCCCCTGCTTCCTTGCACAACTGGAACTAGATTTTTGCTCCGGCTTCTTCTTCCACCCCTAAAGTTTTCAACTTCACTCATCACCCGTCAGAACCAGACATCATCCCCTTCTCTAGTGAGACTCTAGCTAAAGGGGGTGATGACTGGAGCTTATGCCTTGTCAGTTATTCCATTGGCCGAAGGCCCTTCTATGAAGCGCTTTTGGGAGCATTAAACAAAACGTGGGCTCTAAAAGGTTCTCTTAAACTCTTATCTCGCAGTGATAGTTTCTTCTTGCTACATTTTCCTGTGTTGAAGATTTTGACATGGCTTGGTCAAAAGGGGTGTGGTTCATGCTTGGTAAACCTTTTGTTCTTCAAAAATGGCACCCCAAATTTAAGCCAAAGAGGGAGAACTTCTCTTTGGTTCCAATTTGGGTTAAAATTCATGATTTTCCATTAGCCTGCTGGAATTCAGAGGGAATTTCTAGAATTGCTAGTAAGATTGGTGTACCCTTAGTGGCTGATCATCTCACAGAGCTAAAAAGTGGTCTCACCTTTGCCCGCGTTTGTGTCTTGGTTGATTGTAATGCCACTTATCCTAAAGTTATTAAAGTTTCTTTGGATGGGGATGTTGTTGAGCTCAAGGTGCAATATGAATGGAGACCGTCCCCTTGTGAACACTGTAAGTCGTTAGTCCATTATTCTTCTTCTTGTCCTTTGAACCCTTCTCCAGCTGGTAACGATCCTATTGCTTCAAAACCTTTCTCTCGTGGAAGGAGTTTCAGCAAGAAACCTACAAACCGTTTCCATTCCAGACCCCCCTCGGTCTGAGTCCAAACCTAAGGATGCTTCCACCTCTGCCCCGACTGTTGCTAACTTAACCTCCACTACTCCTCTCCACACCAACAGTATCGATCAACCTCTACATTACCAAGCTCATTCACCTCCCCCACCCTCCTTTACAGGGAATTTTCAAGTTACTGGTAATGCTGAAACCATTCCTCCCACTATGCCGCATTCTACAGAGGGCATTCCTAAAGAAGCTACTTTATCTGATTCCATCGTGGCTAGCATCCCTAACCTTAATATCCCTACTGAAGAACACTCGGCTTCTTCATGCTATATTTTGGCCACCACTAAAAAACCATCCACTAGTATCACCTCTCCCAATAAATTTGAGATTTTAAATTCTCAAATTGTCATAGATCCGCAAGAGAATTTTGTTTCAAGTAGTGACTTGATTGATCATTTCACCAAACAGCCGGGCAAAGGCAAGAAGCAAGCTACTTCAGAAATTTCCAAAAAATCTGCAAAGGGAAAGCAGAGTAAAAAATCCCAAACTCCCTCTACTTCCTAATGACCCTCCCTTCCATGGGTGTATGGAATGTTAGGGGGTTTAACCATCCGGAAAATGTACTTAGCTGCAAACGACTCATCAAGTCATTCAATTTAGACATGCTTTGACTATTGGAAACTCGGGTACATGCTTCCTCTCTCTGTGATCCTCTTTTTGTCTCCTCTCATTCTCTCTTCCCCAATAAAGATAGTCAACACAATTTTAATCTCTCATCCTCAGGTCGGATTTGGATTAAATGGAATGCTAGCAAACTGACTTTTGTTCCTTCTATGGTGACTCCTCAGATGATTAGCGGCATGGTTAAGATTGGTAATCAATCACCTTTTCAGTTTTCTTTTGTCTATGCTTCCAATAATGCTTATGATAGGAAAGCCCTTTGGAATTCTATCAGTATGGCTGTTCCTTCTAATGGTATTCCGTGGGCAATTGCTGGAGATTTTAACTGTTGTCGCTATGCTAGTGAAAAATCTGGTGGTTCTGTGCTTCACCATTCCAATTTGATTGATATCAACTCTATGATTTTTGATAATAATCTGGTAGACTTACACTATGTGGGAAGTTTCTTTACATGGTTTAATCAGCAAGCAGACAATCCAATTCTTATTAAGTTGGATAGAGCCCTTGTAAATGAGGAATGGGTGATGTCTTACCCAAAAGCTTATTGCTCCTTCCAGAGCCCGTCCTGCTCGGACCACTCTCCTATTATCTTTCACTCGGGCCTAAATTTTATTACTCATCACAGGTTTCTTTTTAAAAATTTTTGGACTAATGATGACAGATATTAGATGTTTCTTTTAAATGTTTTTTCTATGCCTAGAAATCCTTTATCTCACCTTTGTAACACTCTGAGGCAATTAAAAGGTGATATTAAAAAGCAACAATGGGCTAACTCTCAATCCATCAATATGCAACTTGACACCCTGCATGCCAAGCCACTGGATCTTTTAGCTCTTCTCCAACTCAATCCGTTGGATGCTTCTCTTGGGGCCTCCCTTAAAGAAATCAATTCCAAAATTACTGCTGCTTCCTCCTTGCAAGCTAACTGGGTTATTCAAAGAGCCAAGACTAAATGGCTCATCCATGGTGAGGATGATCTTAAATTTCTTTATGCCAAAATCAGGAATCGGAAAGGTAGCTCTAGATCTGTTGTTAACTTAATTGCTTGCAATCCCAATATTAAAAGAGGGAGGTGATTAACACTATTATCAAGTACTTTCATGATTTGCTCAATCCTATCCCTTCTTATTTCTCTACTCTGGATATCTTTCCTATTGGTAATGCTGTTACAGACTTCTATGCTAACCTTCATATTTCTCCTATTTTGGATGAAGAAATTAAAACAGCTGCCTTTAAGGGATATTCTAACTCTACCCCGGGGCCAGATGATTTCAATTATCACTTTTACAAATCTAGATGGCACATCATTGGTCCCCAAGTCTGCAATGCCATCAGATACTTCTTCCTCAAGGGTCATACTCCTAGTGGGGTTAAAGCTACAACTCTTGCTATTATTCCTAAGCACAGAAATGCAACTTATATTACTGATTATAGGCTTATATCTTTGTGTAACACTCTTTACAAAATCATTGCAAAGATTATTGCTTGAAGGCTTAATCTGATAATGCCTTTTATTGTTAAGGACACGCAAGCAGGGTTTGTGAAATCTAGAGTCTCCACTGATAGCATTATACTTGCTAATGATATCCTCTCTTTGGTGAATAAGAGAGGGGCCGGTAACATTTTTTGTGCTAAAATTGACATCAAAAAAGCTTTCGACTCCGTCTCTAGGGAATTTTTAATTGCTCGTTTGGTTCAAAAAGGTTTCCCTAAGCAATTTATCAGTTGGATTAAAGCTTGTATTTCTAATGTGAATTTTTCTGTTGTCATTGATGGTGCTTTAGAAGGTTTCTTTCCCTCTTCTGCCGGGCTGAGGCAAGGTTTCCCTCTAAGTCCATACCTTATATGTATTGTGATGGATGCCTTCTCTAACCTTTTGGATGCTAGTGGCTTTAAAGGCTTTGAAGCAGACAACTTTCATCTCTCTCACCTTTTATATACTGATGATGTGTTAATTTTTGGGGAGGCAACATTAGACAATTATCACATTCTTGCTAATGTCCTACATGAGTTCGCTGCTGCTTCTGGTTTACACATTAATTTTGATAAATGCTCTGTTATGTTCACCAAAAATCAAAGGAACAGAGATAGTTTATGCCAAGCTTTATCCATATTCAACATCTCCTCAAAGATATCTTACCTTGGTATCCCTATCCCTTTTAACAGACTGAAAGTTGAAGATTTCTTACCTTTGATGGACAATCTGCACAAAAAGTTTACTGGTTGGAAGGCTAACCTTCTGTCTTTTGCTGGGCGTCTGCAGTACTTAAACTTCACTATTCAAAACACAATTGCCTATTGGATTAGGGGCTCTATTCTGCCTAAGACTGTGTTCAAATTTTTTAAGAAAACTTGTTCTCGTTTTCTGCTTTTTGGTGACATTTATTGCTCCCATAAATTACATATGGTGTCTTGGGAAAATATTTGCAAGCCTAAAGTCAAAGGTGGGTTAGGTATCCCGTCTCTTAGTGCTCTTCAATTTGCCTTTAATTGTTCTGTGGTTTAGAGAATGTATAATTGCACTTCTCCACTTTCTTCTTGGTTATTGGCTCATTATTCTTCTCCTTGGAGGCATCCTACTCCCAAAGATAGCAAATTCTGGATCTTTGTTTGTAACACGGCTGCTATTGTGAAATTTAAATTTAAGTTTTTAATTACACCTTATGCTCCCATCTTTGTGCTTTGGGATCACTGGTGTGGCAATTGTACTCTTTCTGAGCATGTGGCTGGTGTTTCTCTGGATAGCCTTTCCCTTCCACTTCTAAACGATTATATTTCTTCTAGGAAATGGATTTTCCCTGATGGGGTCCCGCAGATTTTGAAAGATGCTGTCTCTAGCTTTTCGATTTTAAGCATTTGCAGGTCCTTGTCTTGTTTGGAACGGTTGTGACAAGATTAAATTTAGAGACTTTATTGAAGAATTTTACAACATTTTGCCGGAATGTCCTTGGCATAAACTTGTTTGGCATAAGAGGCATATTTTGAAACATTCCGTGTATGTTTGGCTTGCTCTTGTTGGTGGTTTAAAAACTCAAGATGCTTTGAGATCCAGAAATATTTATGTGCCGTCAATTTGCTCCTTTTGTCACTCAGCTGTTGAAACTGTCAATCACCTATTCTTTGAGTGCCCTTACTCTTTCTTACTGCTTAATTCTCTTTTACCTGCCACTAGAAGTTTTCCTTTAAGACCTACTATGCTCCAACTTCTTCAATGGCTAGAGACTGATCCTTCTAGTTCTCGAATGACTAAGAATTTTTATATGTTGATGGTTTGTTGTCTTATCTAGCATCTTTGGAGGGAAAGAAACAGCAGAAGGTTTGGAAATGATTTCCATAGCTCTACTTCTTTGCTGTTTACTGTTAAAAGGTTGATCTCTGGGAAGGTTGCTAAATGGAAAAACTCTGAAGTTCTTCTTGATTATTTGTGAGGACTGGGTCCTCTATTCTGTATTGGCTGTGGATGTATACTGGCGGGTTTGGTCAATGTCCAGGACAATGATGAAGCTCCAAATTGATTGCCGAGAATCCTATACCCCTTGAACGGCCTATGGGCAACCAGGGGCTGCTGCCTTTTTCTATAGTTCTGAGTCCTGATTATTTCTGTTCAGGAGCTCGTTTCGTGGATCTATTTTTCTACAGTTTCTATGGCTGTGTTATTCGGTTTTTGCAGGTTTTTTGCTCCAATTCTGTGATGCTGTTATGACCAACTCCATGTGCCTCTTTGCTGATGGGAACGATGCTTCTGAAACTGTGAATTTTTGGCTACTAAAGGACTTGTGCCAATCTCTTAGCTGTTGCTGTTTTATCTTTTGGTTATATGTGGTCTTTCCAGGTTCTATTTTGGTGTAATTTTGATTGTTTTTGGGTGGTATAGTTGGGGTTTTTATTACAATTGACCTTCATAAGGTTTGTTTTTGCTTATGAATGATTATCTTTACATGTAATCACCTTTACTTGTAACCTTTTTTTTCTTTAATATATGGGCTTTTGCCCAAAATTTTCCCAAAAAAAAAAAGATGTCAGTAAAATAATTCTTTTAAAAGCTACTCTCAATAATATAAATATATGTTTTTTTTCCTAAAAAACAGTTGGAAAGCAACTTTTGTATAGCTCCCACATGTAAATCTGTTTGCAAAAAATAGCTTCCCTTCACAAATATTTTTTTTAAAAAAAAATAAATAAATAACAATAAAGTAATAGCCAAGAAGAATTGTGATTTTGGTAAAGCGGCCAGAAACAGGCTCTTAACGAAAATTGTTAATATATAGCCATTTTTAAATCTTAACTTAAAGAACTACTAACAAGAGATTCCCTTCTTAACACTTACAGTAACTAAAAAATTTTATTATAAGAAAACAGAAGCATGAACATGATAGATCTCTCTCATAACCACAACCACATGAATGGCCTTATAAAGGAGGCAGGGACCACCATCTCCCCCATTAGACTAAAAAAATACTACTAGATCTCATTCGGTTTATGATAAAAAAAAAATAATGAAAGATAAAATTGAATTCTCTTCTATATTCTAATAAAAAAATTTGATTTTGAATTTGATTTTTTTAATCTAATATCTTTCTTGTATTTTATTAAATAACTCATCCTTATATAGCTATGACTGTTCCTCTTCCAAACAGATTACTTGAACAATCTCTCTCGCCGGCGACAACGTCGAAATGGAAAGCGTTAGAGACTCTTCGGGCTTCAAGCTCTTCGGGGCGGTGATTGCAACCGATAAGAGAACGCTGGCGGCGGCGCCGGAGGATGATGACGTAGCGACGGAGGCGGCGGGGGAGGAAGAGGTTGACGTGGCGGCTTCGCTTCCGTGTCCTCGATGCAAGAGCCAGGAGACGAAGTTCTGCTACTTCAACAACTATAACGTGAACCAGCCCCGCCACTTCTGCAAGGCCTGCCACCGCTACTGGACGGCCGGCGGCACCCTCCGTAATGTTCCCGTAGGGGCCGGCCGCCGCCGGAACCGGATTGCGCCACCCGAGTTGCGTTGACTTTTCTCGTGTTGTGAAAGAATTTGGGATGTAAGGAAGTTTTGAATATTTTATAAAATAATTTTGAAGATGTGTGATATTTTTATTTTATTTCCTTATAAGGCAATGATCTGTAAAAAAATTATTAGAAATATTCTGAATTATTTTATTTAAATGATATCTTATTAAATATTTTAAAAAAATATTACATTTTGAATAAATTTTATTCTAACGTCTTAAGAATTTTTTTTTTTTTTGGAGAAAAATATTATCATATATTGTATTGTAAAGATTATGATTCTTGTGGATTTTCTAAGGGGTTAAAACTTGTTATATTTTCTAAGAAAATTTGAATATCAAAATATTAAATAACTATTGGTAATAATAGGGGTGTCAAATCATGATTACAGGTTGAGTTCAGATCAAACTTGATTTTGACCCGATTTGAAAATCGGGTCACTTTTAGGGGCTGTTTGGTATGCAGATTTAGGCTGGATTTGGGCGAAACCAAAACAAACGGCCTAAAATGCAAAACCAAATCTCATGGTAAATGAAAGTCACGTTAGACTTAAAAATACCCCTTTTTGCGGTAAATCCCAGATTTCCCAAATCCTCCAATTTTGTGGATTTAACTTTCTATTGCCACGAGAGGAGGAAGTCCTAACGTTTCTAGCTGTTATGCCTTATCTCCTCACCCGCTCCTCTTCAGAACAACTCACATGCCATGGTCACCCATTCTTGCTCTTCTCTTCCTCTCGCTACTATCACTATTATGAGACATACAGTTCGACTTCTTGCAATCGCACATTCAGTCACCTTTGAGGAAACCAGCGGCGTGAAGAAGATCAATAGTAGGTATGACTTTTAACTCATATTTATGATTTTCATGCTAGGTTATCCAAAGTTTATGCTTTTTTTGTCCAGTATTTCCTCCAATTCGCAACTTAGCTTGTCCTATTTTTACTCTGATTCATGATTCTCACATGCTGCAGTTATTCCTCTTCACAAAATCCTATTATATTATTGTGTTGTGATATTCCCTTTGCTAGAGTAATGTGGTAGTTCGACATTGTGTTATTAACATGACACTTGAAGAAGATGTGGCTAGTAGTGAAACTTACCCATAAACAAACTGTAAACAATCATCCTTACTCCCTGATCATATTAGTTTTGCACTGGATAAATCGAGTCAATTGACAACGAATGACAACAATCCTCAAACATGAATTACATAGCTTCTACTCAGAACAAAAATAGTAAAATTCACTCCTAAAATGGTAATAATGCACATTAGAAAATGTAGTTATCAATGCTAAATGATCTCCATGGATACTATTAAAATATATTCTTTGAAATTTGTTTAACAAGAATGAAATATTTTTTGAAAGGCAAAGTAGCGTAACGGTCATCGTTTAGTATTCAAGTGGACATCATGTGATTTAGATGTGATGTTGGGGAATACTAATAAAAGTGTTTTGAGGACACCTAGGTGGCTATATAAACATAATGAAGTCTTCAGAGAGTTATTGTTATAGTAATATTTGTGTGGCAATATTAATGATGACATATTGAGGAGGGACATGAGGAAGGATTTGGTATGTATACTAAATCATTGAGTTGATGTAAACTATACTGAAAGCATTGTATAAACTAGGTTAAAAAATATGAATGCTAATTTTCGTGTTGTTTTCAACTATCCCATCAAAGTGGATGGGGTTGGGATGAAACTCTTCATTTTCCTATAGTCATTGATGAAACATGGGATGAGAAAATCCAAGTATATATTATTCAATAAAATTTTGTGTTCTATTTATAAACCTCAAATACTTGTCTTTTTTATTTTTTTTAAAATTTTTTACTATGACAACCAAAAGCTTGTGAAGTTCTTTTCATAATCTATTCCACTAGTATGATATTTTTGAGAAAATATGTGCTGATAATATTGTTGTGACAACATTAGCAATATTGTCATGAAAAATAAATAATACAATACAAGATGAGATAACATTGGAAGATGTAGAGGAGGATGTGTGCTTGTCCAATTACATAATCAATTTCATACAAAGTGATTTACAAAACAACCTAGTTCCTGAGGGAGAAAACACTGAAGAACCCCCATATATTCTGATGAGTCATAACAAGCGTTAAAGTGATGATGATATTCATAAAAGTAGGGCCCTAGAAGAATAGCTGAGAAAGACAAGTTAAGCAGTATACTAGATAAGCATTGTGGTAAAATCGATAAGATAATTGAGAAGATTGATAAAATTTGTCCATACACAATAATATAATGCCTTGCAAAACTTGGTAGTATAGAGAACATTTCGATGAAAGCTATAATAGCGTTCATGAAGCATTGATAGACTATAATGAATACAAATCACCCTTATGACTTGGGATGGATCATTACTGCGTAGGTGGATTGAATATATTCTTCATTGCCACCCAAAATTTTTTACTTGTTCAGCTTTGTTGCCAAATTGATGTATTATAGGGTGTCAGTTCAAGATGTTGTTATATTTCTATTTTGTCTTTCATGTATTTGTTGGTTAGCTTGCAACATTAATTTTCTTATGATGTGTTTCTCCTTCTTTAAGCATGTATATGTTTACTTTGCCTAAATTTATTTGTAAGAGTTATGTTGTTGCTTAATTTTTAAGTTACTAGAGTAATATTAATGCTTAATATTTAAGTTTAGATTTATTTCTACTTGATAAGTAAGATATTGTTTACTAAACATAATGAACTATTAATTGTAGCACAAAATGACTCATTTCCTGTATGGAGTTTGAAAGTTTCATTAAGTTGTTAGACCAAAATATTTGTCCCAAGGCTAATCAAGAGGGAGGTGAATTGATAATTTAAAAATTCTCTTGGTAAATTAGAAAACCAATTTTAGATTTTATCATAATTACTAATTTTCTCCAAATTATTTTTCCAACCACAAAATTAAAACCTATAGAAAATAAAAATGCACTAAAAGTAAAGAGAAAAATACAAAATTTTATAGTGGTTCGATCCAACTAGACCTACGTCCACTCCCTAAAGACTCCCTCTTTAGATATTGCATTATACCAAAGTGACTCACTTTTTACTCCCACAGTAAGGTGAAGAAGCCTTCACAATAACCTCTCTTCCACAAACCCCGGTGCGATAGAGTACCGTTGCCCTTTCTTACCCTCCTGGTGATGGTAGAGAATTGACATTCTTTCATATCATCTTGGTGTCGGCAGAGTACCTGCATCCTTTCAAACCCTCCTGGTGTTAGTAGAGTACCAGATTCCTTTGAAAATCTTATTTTAATAGTCTTTAAGAAAGTAGGGAAGAGCTTTGAAGAACAAGCAAGAGATCCTCACCTTTGCGCAACTCTGTGAATCCCCTCACAAATCCCTCTTAAGAGATCTCTTGCTTATGATGTATTTCTCCCTCTTTGTGTATGTATCTATTTACTTTGCCTAAATTTATTTATAAGAGTTATGTTGTTTCTTGATTTTTAAGTTACTAGAGTAATATTGCAGCTTAATTTTTAAGTTTAGATTTATTTCTGCTTGATAAGTAAGATATTGTTTATTGAACTTAATGAACTATTAATTGTAGCACAAAATGACTCATTTCCTATATGGAGTTTAAAAGTTCGAATAGGTTGTTGGACCAAAATATTTATCCTAAGGCTAACTAAGAGGGGAGTGAATTGATAATTTAAAATTTATGTTAGTAAATTAGAAAATAGATTTTAGATTTTATCACAATGACTAATTTTTTCAAAATTATTTTTCTGACCACATAATTAAAACTTACAAAAATAAAAAATATAGTAAAAGTAAAGACAGAAAAATATAATATTTTAAAGTGGTTTGATCCAACTAGACCTATGTTGACTCCTTAAACACTCCCTCTTCAGATATTGCACTATACCAAAGTGACTCATCTTTTGCTCCCACACCAAGGTGAATAAGTCTTCATAATAACCTCTCTTCTTCCAAACCCCAGTGCAGTAGAGTACCGTCATCCTTTCTCATCCTTCTAGTGATGGTAGAGAATCAATATCCTTTCACACCCTCTTGGAGTCGATAGAGTATCAGCGTCTTTTCACACCCTCTTGGTGTCAGCAGAGTACTGGATTCCTTTGATAATCTTCTTTCAAGATTCTTTAAGAAAGTAGGGAAGAACTTTGAAGAACAAGCAAGAAATCCTCACTGTTGGGAAACTTTGTGAATCCCCTCACAAATCCCTCTTAAGAGATCTCTCACTCTCCAATCCCAAAACACTCTCCCAAACACTCTCGAAGTGCACTTTCAAAAGAAATTCAAATTAGGAATTATGTAGTCAGTTTTTAGGACTCTTAAATATGAAAGACAAGAAAAATCGTCCATAAAATTGAAAATTTCAATTTGACCCTCTTGGATCGTATAGTACGATCATACTTCGTACGTATGAATAGTTTAAAAAATCCTTGTACGACCCTGGACGAACCTAATTTTATACTCTATCAGTCGTATGTATGAACTGTTAAAAAATGTACAAGTCGTTAGGTACAATTCTATATGAATACATTTCATATAGTGGTCGACGTACTGTACGATATTTATTTCATATAGTACGATCAGTTTAATCAAGTCATGCTTCATTTGGTACGGAAATGGATAAGTCCATTTATTACTATGGACGTCATATATATGAAACTAATTTTGTATAGTACAAATAGTTCAAAAAATTTACCTGTTTGTATGAAACGAACTAGTATGTACCCATTTCATACTCTAGACGTCATCTATATGAAACCCATTTTATACAGCACGATCAGTTAAAAAAATAGTGTGTTCATTCGGGATAAACTGGTACGTATCCATTTTGTACTCTGGACATCGCCTGTACGAATGTAACTTTATACAGTACGAACAATTCAATCAAAAATTTCTAAGTCATGATTTGATTAGCTTCTTTCGGGAGGAACACTCAGGATAAATCATATAGTATGTTTCAAGAATCATACTACACAATTATTTTTAAAAATATAAGTTTTGACTCACTCCTCTTATGTGTGTGTGCACGATTACCCAATTATAATCACACTCTCTCATACTAAAAA